TTTTTTTTTTTTTTTTAAGTACTTGTCCTCATTTTAACTGTATTTGAAAGGAGAATGTGTTTGAGAAGTTGTTTCTATCTCAGTTGTGTGGGTTTTCATGTTTGATATTGTTATTTCTTTGAGAGGAAGGACCTGTCTAGTCTGGCATTCTGGTGAACAGAGCAGATAGTTGCTTTTGGAACGCTGCTTTCCTGCTAGAACCATGTGACCTTTTAAACAGAAAATAACTGAGGTAGAAACTCAATTTCTAGAAAGACAAGACTCTCAGGAGCGTGTAGATGTTTGAATCAATCTTCACCCTTGTATTGTGACCCAGCTAGCCCTAGCCAGTTCTGATTTGTCCATTGTACTTACACAGCGAGATTCCTGCCCGTACTTCTGGAATTACCTGTCTCAGCTGCCCAGATGCCACTTCCACTGTTCTCAGGCAGGTGGCATTGTGTCCAGGTGGCCAAAAAGGCTGATGACATCCTGGCCTGCATCAGAACTAGTGGGGCCAGCAAGCCTAGGGAAGTGATTGCCCCTTGTGTGTGGCACAGGTGAGGACTGCACCTTGAATGTATTGTTCATGTTTGAGTCCCTAAAATCAAGAAGGATATTGAGATGCTAAAACATAGGCTCATTAAGATTGGAAAAGACCACTACAATCGTTTAGTTAAACCATCAGCCTATCTCCACCATGCCCACTAAATCATATTACTCAGTGCCTCGGAGTGCTAGAGCACAAAAGAGTTGAGAAACTGGCAAAGGGACTAGAAAACAAAGATTAGGTGCAACTGAGAGAACTGGGGCTAGGGGAGGCCTAATCATTGCCTACAGCTGCCTGGCAGCAGGTTGCAGCAAGAAGGGTGTTAGTCCCTTTTCTCAAATGAGAAGTGACAGGATATGAGAAAATAGTTGCAAGTTGCAATGGAGGAGGCTTAGATTGGATGTGAGGAAGAAATTCTTCATGGAGAGGATGTTCAAGCATTGGCACCAATAAAGTGGTGGAGTTGCTGTTCCTGGAGGTATGTAAGAGATCTGTGGATGCGATACTAAAGGACATGGTTCAGTGATGGCACTTGCTGAGTCAGGTTGGTGGTTGGATGTGATGATCTTGAAGGTCTTTTCCAACCCAGATGATTCTAAATTTTAGGAGAATCTTTAGGAATCACAAGCAGAAATTGCTAAGAACTCTAGCCTAGAGCATGCACAGCAGAAGAGCGGTGAATGGTCTTGGAGACTAGTTTCACAGTAATTGAGGGGCAGAACACTTTTCAACACTGACTTGATGAAAACTGTTCACACTATCAGTTTATTGTCTTTTTACAATACATGTTCACAAGCCTCTTGATTTCTAGTTCAGTCTAATTGGGTTCTTGAACCCTCCTGTTTAGTGAGGTCTGAAGCAACCTAAATCACACCTTTAAAATTCTCTGACACACTAACATCAGAACTGAATACTTTTTCCAAAGTATGGCTGCTGATATGTAAGCATACCTGAAATCTGCACTTATGTTGAAGTCATCTGTTCTCACTTGTCTTTGTTCATCTGCAGGAAGTTCTTAATTTTCTTACAAAAACCAAACATAGTCGAGCACACTTCCTTAAGGATTATTCTCTGAACTGCCCTCACTGAGCCTAGATAGGACCATTTGCTACTTGCAGTTACTTTAGCTTCTGGAATATGACCTTTATAGGATCATCAGATCATCATTAGAAACTCAGTATAATGTACTTCCACGCTTTTGTACTGACTTTAAATTTTTATTCCCCTTCTATGCTTTGCTTATTTTTTTTCTTTGTCTGGAAGAAACTGAATGGCATACGCTGTTTATGTGCAAAGTAGCTATATTTAGCTGGAAACATTTGGGAGTATTCTTTTTTTCTTTTAGCAGTTTGTTAGGGAAAACCTAGAGAGTTCCATTTTTCCCATGATGAAACTGCTCAATAAGACTGTTTAAAAATAAAAAAAAATAAAAAAAATGGGAGAGAGTGGGGTGGAGTGGCATGGGAATGTGACTAAGAGAAACTGCTGATGTAAATGCCTACATTAAAGCTAAAGGTATTTGAGAACAAATCTATGACCAGAAAAAAATAATCCTGTTTTATGAAATGACTGTATTGTGGGTTTATCTCTACAAACACTGTAGAGATAGAGAAACCTTGTAAGTAGTTCAGTGTGATTCTGTTCTCAAAAATATAGATACGGGCTGTAGCTTTTGAAATGAGAAATTCTTACTGGGAGGCAGTCTGCTGCCTGAGTGTGCCTGCGTTCTCTATTGACTCTATTTCTAAAACAGATGCTTGCAGCAGAGCCCAGGGTTTTGGTGCACATGCACCAGCAGTTCTCTTTTCGCCCTGTCTCTGCTATATTGAGAATGGTCTTTCACCTCAAAGGTTTTAGGTTGCGTTTTTTTGCTTATTTTTGTGTCACACCCTATAAGGTCAGCGGTTGGAGAGGCAGCAGGGCTGCCCTCTGAACCTTAGGTACGACAGAAGGCAGCATAGTAAACTGTTGATGGTAAGAGCGCTTCTTGAAGGCTTTGTGTCAGGCAAGGTATGTTCTACTGAGGTGAAATTTGGGCAGGTGACAGCAGTGTGCATGCTGTGAAGGGAAAAGTTCAGGTTTATTTGCGTATTTGGACCTTAGACTTAGGGAATGATAGCACTGGGCTGTAAGCTAGTTTTAATAGTGAACTGCTTATGGTGCTGCTGTGCTCAGCTGCAGTGAAGGATGTTAATCCTTGCTGATGTGTCTTCTGCATTTTTGACTTCCCCATACAGAATGGCCAAGCACGCAACTATTAGAACTGTTTATCATTTCATACTGTTTTCTAAATAAAGGAGAGCAAAGGATCTTACTTAGACTACAGATAGCACGTGCAATAAATTTCATTATGCTGTTTGGTATAAATATACTTAAATTTGACCACGTATTCCATTGATCTATGTTCCGTGTTAGAAGGTGAAGTTCCAAGCAACAGTGAGATTCTTTTTCCTTGCTCTGTTTCCTGGAGATATACAGTGTGTTTCAGTTGCTAGTTTTGCAAAATGTGTGTTCTTCATAGTGGAGTCTTTACACCAATGTTCAGTCAGTTTATCTTAAAGGCACGGGGTTATTTTTCAATAAAAGTGAAGATGGCTTTTTCTTCTTGTTGTTCAACATTGTGGGTATCTTATATTGATAAAGGCTCAGTCTACAGGGCTAATAAGTTACTATTATCAGTGCTTTCAGAAAGAGAAGTTATTATGATTGTACAGGATTTTAAGTTCTTCTGTAGGATGAGACTGCATCTTAATAACTTAATGCACAACAGCACTGTGGGAATGGAAGCGGGTGATTTGGTGTACAGTCAGCTACAGCGTTACAGTTGGTGGTTGAGTACAGCTGCTTGTCCTGAAAGCCATCAGTATATTCTTTTTTTTTTTTTAAGTACGTAGATATGGAAATCCATAATGGAAGATCTTTCCGTTTCAGTCATGTTGTGAATAGTGTTTCATCACTGCTTTTACTTAGGTTTCAGTTAAAATAAATAAATAAAATGGGAATGTTTAAATGAAATACCTAGTTATAATTATGGTAATTTCAGAATGCATTTTAAATCAAGGAACTGTGCTTTCATGTGCATACACTTACATGTATTGTGTACGTGTTTTTAAATGAAAAGAAACCTGGTCTCCATCTTCCTGTTGACATCAAACAATCTTCTGATATGCAAATCCTGCAATGGGGAGAACAGATACACAGGGTTTGTTTGGATTCAGTCCAAGACTGTGAAAATTATATTTAAACAAGTGATTTATATTCTTTGCCTCATTTAAATGAAAATGCATTTTGAAATAATCCCTGTAACTAGCACCACTTTGGTGAAATGTTGTGATCCTTTGTACGACTGATGCATTTTACAACAGCTACTTTAGAAACGTTTTTCTTGTACTCCTGCCCGTCTCCGTAACGTGCAGATGCGGCTGTCAGCTTCTCTGTGGCACATTCTAACATCGTATATGAAAATATTTTTATTTTCCCAGGGTAATAAACGTTTGTCGTATCAACTTAGGGCGTGTGCGATTGTGACGTGTGTGTATACATGCTATTCAAGTACGTGCGAGTGTTTCAATTTCTGTGGAAGTTAACTAATGCCGTTTGTATATTTTCTTTGTCTGCTTACAATCTGTTAGAATAAGGATTCTGTTGAAAAACTGACAAAGCGAGCAACAGTTTATCAGTCTTCTCACCTTTAGCTGCAGAAATTACAATGACCAAACTTGCATGAGGTAGCGCTGGCTGAATTCCAGGTTTTCAGTAGGCGTTTTTGGAGGTCTGTATTATTTCAGTTGCTGAGCATTATATTTGAAGATGTGTGTGGCAGAGCATAATTGCACTTCCCATAAGTTCTAGCGGGCTGTTGAACTGTTACCAATTACTGGTGATGGTGGTTCATACGGGATGGGAAACATTTGAACAAGAGTTGGATTGCAGTGAAATTTTCAGAAATGATTGGTGTTCCTTTAAACTTCTGCAGTAGATAACCTCATTTGCTCTAATGTGATCTTTCTGTGATTGTTTGCCACCATTATTTTTCTGCCGTTTGAAGGACACAGAAATAGAAGTTGGTGTGAGGGAGTATTTCATTCAGGACGTTCAGTGCACCTACCTTTGCATCAGACCTTTGTTCTGTGGTCACTTAATCAGCACTGGGCTGTCCTGATCACATTTCATTCTGCACTGAGAATTGTTGCATGCCACACAAATAGTGTTATTAACGGGTCCTGTGTGGAGGGCTGGGGGAATAGCAGTTTCATTCTGCTGATTACAGTTATATGTGTTTGCTGATTCTAAACGCGTGGATTGATGAAAGATGCTAAATACTGAGGGAAAAATCTTTCAGTAAACCTTTTAAATTGCTCTCGTAGCCTCTTGTGCTTGATTTTTAGATAAAGGATTTTATGCTTTTTTTTGTTCAACTGCTGTATGCAAGTCTTAAATTTTGATATTCGCTATCTTTTTTTTCTTTAAGCATTTTAAGAAACAGAAGAGGTTGATTCCTGAAAGAACCGTTTGGAAGTACTTTGTTCAGCTTTGCAGTGCATTGGAACATATGCATTCTCGTCGTGTTATGCATAGAGGTAATACAGGATCAAAGATTTGTCTTAACTAAGCCTTTTACAGTGTGGGAAATTAAGCTGGTTCTACACAAATTACACCAAATGAAGTCACAATGGAATCATCTTCAGCAGCTGACACAATGTATGTTTTTGTAATGTTCTGTAAGGAACGGCCAAGTGTGACAGAAGTCATGCATTTACTTGGCTGTGGTAGGCATTTGTTTGCAGCAGCAGCGTGTGATACTCTGCGTTCAAAATCCATGCTAGTTCTGTAGCTAATGGAAACCTTGCTGCTGCTGCTGCCTCTTCCCTTGCTCAGTTCATTTTCCTGGCTCATGTTATCTGTCCTCCTCTGTTTGCCCGTCCTCTCTACATATACTTACCTGCATTCTCAAACAGCTATTCATCCTTTCTTTTCACCTTTTCCACTTTTCTTTTTTCCTTGGAAAGGTATTTACCTCCTGCTGTGCATCCTTCCAGTGATGTATTGGCCTTTCTTCCTTACCTGCTGGATTACGTGCAGGCATGAGCATTTTTCCCTTCTTCTCTGTTCCTCTCTGCTCTTCCTGGTCTCTGTGTCAAGTAGTGTGTCCCAGCAGCCCCTGTACTTGTCAGCTATCCTTGTCAGGTTCTTAATCACTTTTACCCATTGTAAGCCTCTGGATGGCTGTCTGTCTCCACCCTATGTTGTCTTCATTTTGCTTTCTAACTGCATGTCAGAGAAAACAAATTGTGTAGCAGCTTCTCAGATGTACATTTTTTTTTTTTCTTTGCCTTGGAAGTCCTTCTGTCTGTGACATACAAGTTGTGTATGGACTTGAGGTGAAATTACAAGTCCTTACTTGGTGCCTTCCTTCTCCTGGGATGCAGAGAGCTGCCTAAAAGCGCTGTCCCTCTATCACTGCTGAGCTGCGTCACTTGCAGCCAAAGCTGCTGTACCTTTTAGCAAGATGAACTTAGATGCACAGGACCCCCCTCCCCAAATGGCTTTCCCTTGTGGTTCTGCTGTTCTTCCCTGTGCATTTGTATGGCTATCTGCAAGTGCAAATTTTACAGAGGGGGATGTAAAGCTGTAGATTCTTTCTGTAAGTTACAGCTGTCTTTCTCTAATGCTTTTATGACTAAAATAGTTCAGTTTATTTCAGCTCAAAATGAGAGTTCCTTAAACTGAAATACTACCTCTAGATTTTCTTGTGAATCTATAGATAATTATATATAAAAGCCAAGGAGAGTCAAAAATGTTTTTAACTTGAGCTGATGTCTGTGTTGACCTGTTTTGCCTACCATGGTTTAAAGTCCTGAAAACTAGGTCAGGGAGTACAACAAAATTTCTTGTCTTCCTTTCTAAATCTTAGTACTTTACCACCTTAGAAACTCGGAGTGCTGGCATTTGAAGGGTTATTAACAGTCACTTTAACCAAGCCTATATCTTGTGCAAACTGTGGTGTCTTCACACTTCCATGCTTTTCTTTTAAGTTGTGAGCTGCAGTGTGTTGTGCCTATGAGCCAATGAGCTCGGTAAGAGCTAGGGACACTTGCCAAACAAGCATGGGGCTGGCTTATTTAGAAGCCTGACAGGGTAGTTGTTTAGTTAAAAATCATAGAATAAAAATCTTCGCTCTCGTCTCTAGAGGATTAGATGAAAACTTAAAGAGAATATTGCTTGTAAAAAATAACTGTCTGGGGAATACATCATTATTTTTCTTTGTTTCTACTTGATTAGCCCAATTCCAATGAAGAGTTCAAATAAACATTCTCCAGAGTGTATCTTTTTATTTTTTTTATTTATTGTTAATGCTGGCTGTTTAAAGTATCAGTGAATTCCCTCATTCAGTTAAATAACATCTTGCTGCTGCAGATAATCTGATCAGTGGAAGTGACAAAAAATGTTATTTACTGTTCACAGAAACATTTTCTTCTGTGATTTTGAGCAGAACGAGAGTTTTTATGGTTCTAATGGAGTTCATTGTGTAAAGTTTACATAACTTACCTGTGTATGTTTCTGTAGTTATCAGGTGGGTTGTATTATTGTTTGTTTTGGACTTTAATATTTTTCATTTTCTTAAATGTTTTGCTTGTGTGCTGTTTGGACAACTAAAATGATTATTGTGAAATTTGGAATAAGAGATTGAATTTTTCTGAGCAGCACTGTCAAATAGCACTGTCTATACTGAAAGATGTCATTCAGCTTATTATTGATAGAGTGATAGCTTTTTCTGCTACTTCATAGTATTAAAGTTCTATTTGTATTTATTTATTTCAGATATAAAGCCAGCTAATGTGTTCATTACAGCTACTGGAGTAGTAAAGCTTGGAGATCTCGGTCTTGGCCGATTTTTCAGTTCCAAAACCACAGCTGCTCATTCTTTAGGTAAGCTTTTCTGAGGGGCAGATGGAGAAAAGGTGGATTTTGACATGGTGTAAATACTATGGCCATTCATTTGAGGGGAGAAAAAAAAGTGTTAGATGCAGCTAATGCTATCTAAAAAACTAGGATGGGCAGAGATGTTAAATACAGGACAGCTGTAACAGAGGTGCTGTCGTTTTCAAGCAAACAGTTATTTGTATTTGTTTTTCCTTGAATCATGTAATGAACACTTCTGCCTCGAAACAAGTCTGCATTTCAGTAGCATTTTTTTTAGAAATGATAGGAAAAAACAAAATCAATAATACTGATGTGTTTTTTTGATTTGAATGAACTTAATCTACAACTAGAATGTGGTAATTGCTTATGCTTCTATATTGTATGGATAGCACTGAAGGCATGTTGATGATGTGATTGAAAGATCAGAAAGAGGAGCACCTGCTAACTTAAATATAAATAAAAATATGTAATAGATCAACTTCCAAATGACTGTAGAAATTGACTGAACATTTACTGATCAGCTTGGAAAAAAGTCCAGTGCATAATGACTTCTTATTTTCTTCCTTCTTATCCTTACAAACTTAAGAATGACACATGGAAAGGCTATTCTAATTTTTACGGGTACTGTATGTTGTTATTTTTGTTAGGGTAATTCTTAAATATTTTAAGATGGGGTTCCTCAATTTATGCTAAATAAGTTGAGAAGAGTGCTGAATTGAGCTTTATGAACTATAATGATTTTTGAAAGGGAGAAATTAAATTTTTATGGATATCCAAAAGGTTTCTGAAATGCCAGATTTGTTCTTTGTGTTGTGTACACACACACACACACACACACACACACACACACTCACTCACTCACTCACTCACTCACTCACTCACTCACTCACCCTCAAACACTCCAGTATATTTTCCAAGCAAAAATTTAATTGAAGTTGTTGTATCTTTTGAGTAATGTATGAGAGCATTTGGAGTCTGAAGTGACTTCAGAGAAAAAAATCTTTGACAGTTACTTTAAATACAGTGAATAAACAAGTGACAGAATCTAAGAGGTTTCCTTAATTTAAGATCCTGTTCTCTTCTGGAGTAGCATCATCTTTTTAGGTTTAATGTTTACAGTCTGTTTATGTAGTTTTGTAGCATCTTTAGCTTTTTGTACCTGTGCTGCCTGCTTAGTGATTGCTGAATTCTGCCTTGGACGCTGACTGCAAAGGGTGTGAAATGAACACAGGAAGAGCAGCGCTATGGGTGGTAATGTCTAAAATTGTTTCCTGATCATTTTAAAGGACATGGAGGCAGACAGAGGACCTTAGCAGCAGTGGAATATGGATAGGTAAAATCAAATCAGATGCATCTGAATGAGATTTTTTAACGAAGGTGATTATTCAGTCTTTAGGCTTTTGGTTATTTTTGTTTCACAAAAGTGCATGATGAGGCAGGTATCTGTTCTTGGCTTCCTTAAATTTTAGTTAATAATTGCAGTCTCTGTTTTAAGTCCCCACTTAAAATTGTTTCTAGGCCCCACAAAAAATTGTTTGTTCAGATCGATCATTCTAATTAGACTATGAAATACAATTTCTTTAATTAAAATGGACCATATTTATTTTCATCTCTTAATTGAATAATATTCAACTAGTCCAAGTTACCAATAGAATACGGAAAAAGGAGGATTGATGTTCACCATGTTTGTACCACATCTGAGATGGGGGTGATGCTTATGTTAACAATCGTAATTGTTTTGGAAAGGAATTTTTAGAAAAGGTATTTCCTACTTGCCCATCTCCCAGAAGGTCTTTGGGCATGCTTTTATGCCTTCCAGTGTTTCTCTGCATGGTGTGTTATATTGTTGTAGTTCAAACAAGGTGTAAATACTTCTGAAGTGAAGCTTTAACAAATGTGCCATCTTGCATTAATTGGAGAAGAGGTAAAGAGGCGAAGAAGCAGCATTGAAGACAGGAAGTGTGTTTGGGTTTTGCATAAAAGTTCAAATCCAACACTAAGGATTTTACATGAATCTGTGGCACAGTGAATGATGGAGAAAGTGCTGCTGCTGTTTGTGCTACTCTGACAGGTTGGTGGCTGTCTCTGGCTGCAGTTCTTATTTGTCATAGTTTGACTCCTTCTACTGCCTGTTAATGAAACAGGGCATTAAGAGCAGCATGAAGAGGGAACTGCTTCTGTACTGCATTTGCAGGCACCTGAAAATCCGAATTGAGGTAGACTTCGGTGTGAGGATAGGAGTGCTAGACTTGTGCTGAGGCAGAAGTCAGGAAGTTAAGGAGGAGCCATCTGCTTCAACCGTGGCTTATTTTGCCCTGTTGCAGGGGAGTGGTTACAAAGAAGAGGTTGTTTAAAAAAAAAACAAACAAAAAACCCACAACAATCTGAAACCACCCAAATATGTTAAAACTCATCTCTTATAAATACAGGATCCATTGATACAGAGAGGGAGCTGGGAGAAACAAGCAAACAACAACAAAAGCCATTGTTTCCTAATGTTGTGTTCTGCCTCTTGGTAGAGGAACTGATGTGTTTACCTTTTTTCCCCATCTCTTTTCCCATTTTCCCCCTCATTATGAGCCACTATAAGAATTTAGCCTAGAAGAAAGGTTTTGTTGAGCTGCTAACTTAGGTTACAATGGATACAGTCACGCAGTGATTTATAATGTCACTTAGAGAGACTGTTCTTTCAGATTATTTTCTCATGCACTTTCTGATGCTGGTTTTTCTGAAACGTCTTGCAAAGCTGCATCTTTTTATGGTTCCATAAACCATTGGTGCACAGAAAATAGTGAATTACAAACATGTGTAGCACTTCATACTTGTTTACAGGCTTTATAAAAATTTCAGTAGCAAACTAGACTCGGGCTTTCAGAAATAAAGAAATGTACTAAAATTTTCATTAGCTACAGCTTCTAACTGCTAATTATGAATAATACTGGTTAATTAAAATACTTGCTGATAATCTATTTGATTCAAATGAAGAAAAAATAAAACCTGAACTGGACAGTGTTTGTCAGTGTTCTTAACTCTTTCTGCACAGCCTACCAAAACAGTCTGTTATGGCTTGTGTGTACCTTATTAATAATAAAAATAATAAAAATCTTTCCTATGAAAATGCCAAGGAAATGAAGACGTTTAGTGTTGTTGATTTGTTATGAGCTTGACAAGTTCTTTAGCTTCAGAAATCATTACATGGAAAAGTAGTGTCAGGAAGAGAATCCAAATAAGAAAGAAACATACATTAAGTCATGTCCTCATACCTTTCTCTATGATTGTGGGTTTTTGTTGTGGTTTTCTTTTGTGGCTGAATGCTAGGCCTTATGCTCTTTGAAATGGCAATCCTCATGCCAGTTCATGGAATTACTTGAGAAAAGTGACTTTTAATTTTGTTAAGCTTTCAGTGGATCTAAAAATAGTCCATATTTCAGTGTTTCACCTTAGGAAAAAAAAAAATCAGTTCTCTGGTGTGTTTGTGTTAGATGGCTGCACGGTATGCTGTCACTACTGCCATGTGAATGCCTTCTTGCAGGGCAGAGCGACAGATGTGTAATCCTCTTCACATTGTTGAAGGCAAATCATCATTTGTATTGCATTCTGGTGATTCATTGGTGATTTGGCAACTTGTCATTTCTGTAGTACCTGTGTCAATAGCACAGAACTATGTAGGTCGCTCTGAAAGTACTTCATATTTATGGCTGTCCCACTGCTGAAACTCACCACTCACTGCTCTCACATCCCCTTTGGTCTCCAGACGTTCAGCAATTGTCAGTGAATGCTGATGGGTTCCCTGTGTGGAATTCAGTGGCACACCTTTTCTTCATAAGCACTTCCATGTCGGGCACCATTTTGTCAGACTGCTTCTCTGCTGCCATCTGTCACACTGCAACAATCTGTAATGGAATATTGGTGAGAAGATCTGACCTCTATTGCCATGCCACCAATGTGGGTCAGTATAATAAAAGAGGAGGCATTACTTTTGGATCAGCCCTTGTGTCATATGAGAAACTTAATTGTGAACTCGTGCAAGATATTGGGAATAAAAAACAACACCATACCAACTGCCTTGTAAAAATATTAGGAACTATTCTTATATATGGATCTCTAACTCAGCAGAGGGGTCAAAGCCTACTGAGGTGGTGGCATGCAGCACCATTTAGCTGTGAAGCTCACTTTCATATTCTCAGCCACACTGTTCTGACAACTTGCACCATCATTGTGCAGGAGCACTAGCAGGGGACAGCTCCAGCTGAAGCATCACGTTAAGGAGCTGTATTAAAACAGCCCTTATTATATGTACAAAAACCTGAGGTTTCCTACTGTAATCTGAAAGCTGAAGATGAGTTGTTATGAATTTGTAGTTCTGCATTATAAAATAATCCAGTAACTATGGATTGATTTCTATAGTTGGATTATTTGCATAATATAGGTAGGTTGCAAAACTACGTTGGATTAGTGCCCTGTTTTAGACCTCATGTCTGTAGTTGAAAAAGAGCTTATCGCTTAAAAGCCTACTTTATCTATGTTTAAAGAAGAAAGAAAAAGAATGTATTATAAAATGCCTGTGATTTCCAGGACATAAAGTTTTTCATAAACCTTATGTTTTGATTACTTAAATTAGGTTTTTTCTGTCCATTCAACTGAAGTCTTGTTTTGCAGTTCTGTCAAATCACTGCAGTAACTCTTATGGTTTTCAGCCCCCTTCCTGAACTCAGGTATGTTCTCCAATGAGCAAAATTTCATTATTAAGGATAATAGAGCTCATCTAATGAACATCTTGTGAATCAGCCACTACATTGCATTGTATAAATAATATTAGCGTGTGCTGGACAGATTTTTCTCCCAGTTAAAGTTTGATAGCATTTGAAGTCAGTTGCTGTATTTGCTTCACCTCCTCAATGCATTTATTTTTTTCAATGAACACAGTCTCCTTTAACTGAGATGTTAGAATCAAGCATTTATGCAGGTGATAAGATGGACTGTTTGTTATAACTCCCCTTTTCATAAATGTTTATTTGCCTCTGATCACTCATATCCTACTCCCTTGTCCCTCACAACCACTATTTCCATTATGTCTGTTCCCCATATCAATAACAGTAGGCTTACATCAAGAAACATTTCTTCAGATCTGCAGCATCTTTAATGGCAGGGAGCAGCAGGGTCTGAGGAAGCAGTTTGTCTGGTCATTTCCAAGATGACATTTAAAGCCTGTAGTTTACTTGAGATGCAGAAATGCAGTAAACAGAGTATATAAGTTACAGGTTTTTTTTTGTTTGTTTTTTTGTTTGTTTGTTTGTTTTTTGGAAGCATCTACACCTCACTGTGTTACCTCTTCTTTTTCTGTCTGTGATCCCTCTTGTTTCTTCAGATCACTAAAGAAAATTACATCTTTGCTGTATTGTGATGTTGTATTTTACTTAACAGAAAAAAAACCAAACCCACAACAATGATTGAGGAAGGAAAAATAGCATGTAATGAAATGAAGCGGTCGCTTGCACTTCGTACTCAGATTGCTCACTGTTCTGAGGCATTGTAATGCCTTCAGTAATTCCTGACTGTCAGAGTAACGAATCTTTTGTGCCATGTTCTCTTGAAAACAGTTCACAAGTCGTAATGATGTCTAGATCTTCAGGTTGTTTTTGTGGTTTCAGCAGCTACATAACTGTGATTTCTATTCCTTTCACTTGTTGGTCATTGGGGGCTTCAGGTTGTGTTGCAGTTAAGGTGTTACACTAGGCTAAACGCTGTAAAATGATAGCATTTGTTCAGCCTTTTCACTATCATCAATCTTTCACAGTCAGATCAGACCCCTAATGTATCAGCAGGCTTCCCAGAGCTACTGGTTAAAATTACCTTTGCTTTTGGTAAGCTCTGAACCTTCAAACCTCCGTGTTTTCAGCTGCCCCCTGTGGATTGTGTGAAGCCTCTTTCTGGCACATTACTCACTGCCAGTTCCTGGCTGATGGCTCAGCGCAAGGAAGGCACTACTTCTGTAACCAGTTAAGAACCAGATTACTGTTACATTTGTTCTTTATTGGAGGAATTCTGCCAGGAAAGCATCTGAATACACTAAATTGTGCATTAATTAATAGGTGCAGAATGCAGCTAAAAATTTTCAAAGGTGCCCAAGCTTACAAGTCCCTGGAGGAAGAAAAGCAAGGTTTCCAGGGAGGAGTACAGTACGGACTGCAAAGCTGTGAAAGCTGTATCAAGCCAAATGCGATTTAATTAGTTTCCAGTTTAAAGGTAGCTGTCATTAAACATCTCTTAAACTCCCATTGCTGATACTCTGGAATAGCTGAGTGCTTTGTTTTGCTTTTAGATGCTCTGGAGCTATATTAGTGTTGCAAACCATCCATCCCAATGCTGTTCTTTCAGGGGGAGAATGCCATCTCTCTAGGCTGTTTGCCTGTGGATAAATGCCAAAATCCCCGGAGAGTGGATGGTTTTGCAGCACTCCATCAGTTTGAATTGCCATTCCCCATTCTTGTTTTAAGCTCTTGATGTCCCTTGGTCTCAGCCAGCAGCTGTGCAGCTTGGCCTCGCCAACGCAGAACTTGGGGCTGCAATACCCCTGCTCTCCTGGGACTTGCATCCTCTCCTTAAAAGGTTTATGGAGCCAAGTCAGCGCTAGGGTGCAGTGCGTGAGCTCTGTCTTTGTGCTGCAAAATCTTGGTGGCTCTTTCACCAGTGTGCTATGAGGAATGTCAGTTGAAGTTGCAGGTTTCCAGCAGCAGCAGCCAGGGCTGTGGGAAGATGGCTTTGCATTTCCCAGGCTGAGCTGGGGAAAGTTGTTTGTTTGCTCTTTAGTTTTCCTACTCTGTTTCCCCTGAGAAAGTGTAGTATGCTTTGAGATGTCAGCCTTCATAAACAGTAGGATGTGTTGTCAAAACCTTATTCTTTTGGAAATGTTTAGAATAAAATTATTAATTCTGATTAAAGCTCTAGTCAGATCACTCAGATTTCGAGCTATTACAGATTCATTACGTCTCATTCATGTAGAGTTAAATTCTGACTAGATGAGGCTAATTCAGAAACTCGAAAAGATTGGAATCCTCATAATGTGTGTTAAATAGAACAGTGTGAGGTTATAGCATTTGTTTCTGTAGGTTGCAGTAAGAGTGTTGATGTTAATTGCTGGCTGGGTTGCCAGGTGGTAAATTGGGAAATTTGTCAATTTGTACCGAGTTCACTTGGATTTCGTCATCAAGATTTGGTGCCTATGGAAATATTCCACAGAAGATTAAAACCTGTGTAGCTGTATTCTTTTTGCTTTTAGAGAGTAGTTTTTTGGAGAGGGATATAGGGAGAATGTTTAGAGACGGCGCATGAAAGCTGCCACCCAGATGATTTGTCACAACTTCTTAAAAATTATTTTTGTATTCATCTGTCATGTAGGAACCCAGAGCTCAAATTTTGAGTATTTTTTTGAGAACTGAAACATTTGTCAGCATTTCTGTTTTTCAGGCAGCTTGTGGCACAGCTGGGTAGGGGCTGGTGAAAATAGGGGGGAGAGCTGTCCTGCAGCATCTAATGGAGACGTGCTCTGAGTGTGAGGAAATGCTGCTTTTCAAGAGCAGCCCGTGTGCCCCTGCGGCCCACAGCTCTGAGGCAGGATTATGCCAGGGCAGCCACGGGTTGGGGAGATGGAAATGCCTTGCAGAGCATATATCTGTGGCAGGTGGCCAAGTTGCTCCTCAGCCCCTCGGCTTCTCCTGGCTCCCAGGTTTTCCAGCCTTTCTCTTTGGGATGCTGGAGGTCTGGATTTCAGGGCTCGGTTTCAGATATTCAAGTTAAGCTGTGCTTATTGGTTTCAAAAGCAGCCTTTTCTGATTTATATATTCTCAAAAGGAAAAAAAAAAAAAAAATCGAAGCCAATGGAAGAGAATTTCTAGCTGCTCTCATTTCTAGCCAGCGCCGGGGCTCGAGGGGAGCGAGGCAGGGAGGTGTGTGTGCTGTGCATCTTCCTGCGAGGAAATCCTCACTCTGGAAACTTTCCGTGCTTCTTTAAAAGTATAACTTGTAAGTGTTCTGCAACTGAACAATTCCGAGAATTAGATATCTACAGTGAAAGTAAAGCTCCATTGGATGAAATTCTAGTCTAATTTGTGGGTATTTCCACCAAACTAAAGAGTTGTAAGTATGAGCTGAAATTCACGTGTACTAAAATGAAAACTGTGAAAGATAATTAAAAAAACCAAGTACTTTCTCAATCAGGAAAACTATTTACTGTTATATAACAATTTTTTTTTCAAAAATATTTGTGGTTTTTATTGCAGTTGGTACACCTTATTATATGTCTCCGGAGAGAATACATGAAAATGGTTACAACTTCAAATCTGACATCTGGTCTCTGGGCTGCCTGCTGTATGAGGTAATACTGACAATAGAGTGAACGTAATAATGCTTTCCCCCCGGCACCCTTCCCCAGTATACTGAAATCGTTGTAAGATCTATTTTCTTGCTGCTGAGAAAAGTATATAGTATTCTAGAAAAGATGTTTGTCAGCTCTTAAATATCTACCTTAATAATGAGAATTCTTATGGTAACTTGCACATATGAAATACTAGATTTGTGTATGATTAGAGACTGTCCATTTACTGGGCTCACTATGAAGATTTTTTTAGCCATTTCTTTGGGCATAACTGAAGGGTTAAGAAGTGAATAATGACAAGCAGATGTAAAAATTCTTTTAGATGCTTTCAGTGGCCTGTGTGGATTTTATGGTCTGGGTAATAATGCTTTGAATAACAGTAGGATTGACTTAACTATGCGACTAATGCTTTTGAAAACTAACGTAATTTTTTTTTAATGATTTGAAACCTAAGTAAAGAAATGAAAAATCACATAGGCTACTATAGTTATCTCTGCTAACTTAATTAACTTTGGAGTTACTTTTGCTGTGCAAAAATCAGTGTTTTTTCTACTGCTTCTTCCCATATAGCTAAACCAGAAGTATGGGGTAACTTCTCCACTAATACAGTTGAAGTTGGTGGGTGACACTGCCATAATTATAAATGGTGTTTTATTCATTACCTTCTGGGGAAGGGAATACATGGGGCAAATGCAAATAGAGGCAAAGAAAAGTGTGAAGAACAGGTAGGCTTCTAAGGCAACTACGTTTTCAGAGTTCTTGCATATCATTTGTTAATCAGAAGGGCAAATAGCAGTTCTGAAGAGTTTACAGACCCATGTGTAGCTGTTGCCTGTAAATCTCTGAGACGATCTGCAAGAGTTAAGTGTCACACTTGCTCAAGTATTGGTGAGTTAAAATCAGATACATAACTCCATGTTCAGGTTCCCCAGCACTGACCGTGGCAACTGCCATTTTCGTGTTCCACTTCATACACTTGCACAAGTAAGAAGACTAAAGGTAGCACAGAAGTGAATGAGGATTTTTTAGTTACAGGTTTTTCCCCTGTAAATAAATGTGTTTAATGTTTTTTTTTGTTTTTTTTTTAATCTGGAAAGAAGTGAAAACCTCAGGGAATAAATTACATACAATAAGCATGTTTTAAGATTATTATTTTCTTCTACATTTTATGAAATTTTGTGGATCTGCTGGACAGAAATCAGTACTCATTTTCTGAAGTTTCTTTTTATTTTTCCCAGATAGTTTGTTCGATGCTGGATAGACCATGTTAAAAACCTGCGTAAAAATGAATTTGTTCTTTGATCTAGAGAATAATTTCAAAATAGTTAAATATCTTAATTTTATTTGCTAGCTCAACATTTCAGATACCTTTCTGTTTTTATTTTTTGATGTTGCATCAGGGTGACATTTATGGTGGCATGGTACTTTTTTCTTTAAGAATGGAACAATTAGGATTCTTACAGTTGATAGGTATTGTGTAATTATAACATACAGCAATATCTGATACTACAGATCTTTATTATGTTTTTTTAATTTTGGGGGGATATATTTATCCTGTTTAGTTCTACAGTACCCCAGATTTTATTTTGTTTTGATGTTTCTCACTGAGGTGTAGTTTAGAAATTCAGGTATACTAATCTCAATATATGCTTAATTTTTTATTATTTAAAAGAAGTTGCTTAAGGTTCTTCAGTCACGCACGGTCTAATACATAGGATGTGTTATCAGTTTCTTTTTGCAGTGCACGTTATATCTACTGCTTGCATTTTAACATGTTCTATTGATTTTGCTATGTGCTCTGGATTTTCTCTAGCTTAATTGGGGAAAAGCTGTGGCATGTTTATCACCTGAATAAATGCTTAATTGCTGATAAACTCTCTTCATTTATGTTTTCATTTGAGATTAGGCTGATTTGCTAGAACGTGTAATTTTTTTTTTAAAAAAAGCATTATTTCTAACCCACGTAACAGTACATTATTCAATGCTAGCTGTGGGAGTGCTAAAAAGTATATTTTAGACTGAATTTTAGAGCCCCTGGTAGTTCTGAAACCTCAAAAACAACTACCACTTGAGTTTTAATTGATATGCAACAAAGTAGACTTTACTAATTAAAATCAAGATGCTGTGCTTTTGCTACATGGACCTTTACATGGAAAAGTAGGTTTTACACATTTCCTTTTATTGTTCAGCGTAGCAATTGCATCCTTACAGGGTTGTAGGTTGGTGGCTTACAGTTCAAAAAAAAAAAAAAAAAAAAAAGAGGGAGGAAAAAAAAAAAAAGAGAGGAGAGAGAGCTGCCACCAGCCCTGAAGACAGACAGTGGGCTTTCGTCCCTCAGACACCCCCAGAATACTAATCAGGAAAGTCAGACCCTGGAGGTCAGGGAGCAAGTCAATCATTCTAGCGATCGTCTCAGTGTGGAGGATCAAATTAGCCTGAAAAATTCAGCTGCTGGGAGGAGAGGGCGAGCAGCTGTCAGGGGCAGCAGCGAGATGCACTAATGAACCAGATGAATAGTGCAAAAGCTTGAAAATAAAAACAGGACAGTTGACATTTTTCATCTGTCAAAGCAGGAGATGCATGAAAATATAGTATTCCTGTTTTAACTCCTTAGGGGACATTCAGATTTTTTTTTAACACTCTGCAGCATTCAAACAAAAGTACTTTTTAATGAACACCTAGAGTACAAAAATGAGTATCTGTGCATTTATTTAGAATTTCTGCATGCATACAGACCCTGCAGTTGATTTTTCTTTTCTTTTTTCTTTTCTTTCTTTTCTTTTTTTGGTCTTTAGCTTGCATTTTTAACATTCTTTTTAAGGTAAGAGACAATAGCATGTAAATCCCAAAATTAACAGCGTTTTGGTAATACGGTTATAGAGTGTTTGGGAGGAGTGTAGAATTGAACTGTAGCACTGTGTTCGCTTGGGGAGCTTTAATATGATTTATTCTTACTTGAAGTTTGTATGAAGAAGTACTAAACTACTTGTGAGATGTTTTATTAGATACCAGGCAAAGGTTAGAGAATTCAGGCATTTTTTCTGTGTGTATTTCCCAGCAATCTTGGTGCTTAGACACGAAAGAGTTAAGCTGATATATGGAAGACCAGAAGACAGATGAGAGCCATTTTCAGCTTGTCCTGTCCCTGCTGAAGCTCACTGAGTAGCACAGCATGGACTAGCGTGTTTCACACACACTCTGCCTGTCTGGGGAATGTACACATTGTCCTTCCAAAATCAAACTTATTAGCACATGTAGAAAAGGGTGACTGACTTTGGGGCAGCGCTGTGCTCAGAGCAACATTCGTGCTGCCGCGGTTCAAAGGCTTGGAAGGCTTTGAACAGAATGGAGAGTTTATAAATGAATTTTAAGATTTGTAATCCTGCTAGCCATAGCATTGGTTTCCACCTTAAATGTCAAGTTTTAACGCTGTCTGGAAGCCAAGCATAGGCTTACTAATACTGCCTAGAGGATGGTTGTTTGTGTAGGTGTTCTCCAGTAGCTATTCCTACATTCTTCTATTACAGTTGTGAAATACAGTTATGGATGTCAGTTCTGTACTTCTGATGATGTTTTGGGTGACAATATTAATTTTTGAAATGATGTGGAATAACAGATTGAATTATGAGGGTATTTTTGTTACCTTTGTTAGCTTTTTTTAATTAACGAAAAGCACCCCACAAAACAGTACCAAAACCCTGCAGCACTTTAACCAGGTCTAGCTGTGAGATGCTACAAAACCTGCTGTTGTTACCCGGCGTTTTTACCAGGCAGTATTGCTTTAGATCAGATAATGTTTTCTAATAAATAATAAGCTTTCTTCCAAAAGAAGAAAGTCCCCCTTCTGTGGTGCAAAACCTTTCCTAACAGCTGTAGGTGGAACTACCCAAATTTTCCACATACGGTATTGGTACAGTCACTACAGTATACAATTAAGCACTGTAATATTAGGATTGTGATAGGCACGGCACAGAGTAAGAACGTGGACTGGTTACTTGGATAGCTAAAGAACTTCTGATTTTAGCTCTGTGACAGGAAATCATTAAAGTTTGCTTTTGATTTGCTAGTGTTGCAGGTTTTATGGCAAAAAAGTGTGCTTAAAAACACAAAAGAAAACTGTACATTTTCCTTAAACAGATGGCTGCTCTGCAGAGTCCCTTTTATGGTGATAAAATGAACTTGTACTCGCTGTGCAAGAAGATAGAGCAGTGTGACTATCCACCTCTCCCTTCAGATCACTATTCAGAAGAAGTAAGTAATTTCCTTTTCATAGGCTAGATCCTCATTTTAGTGTTGGCATGCTTCCAATGTAGTAATGAACTTGTGTAGTTTTATGTTATTTGCAGATGATGCCTGTAAGTGTTTGCTTGTTGAACTTGCTCAAGTTCTTCTGTCAAAACATTTCCCTGAAATGGTATAAAATTTTGGGGGGATTAAAGGTGGAAACTTCATCCTGTTAGCTTCTTAATTTCATTGAGCTTCTTTGCTCAAAAGGCTGTCCTAGAATACACAATGATATGTACTACACGTCATAGTGGGATTGAATCTTACATATGTATTATGCTTTTCTAAAAGCACAACTATACAAGTTTACGCTTGGCAATCAATTAGTGCACTAACTTTGTTTCTCTAGAGGCTTACATTAAAATCAATCAATCAATAAATAAAAATATAGCTCACTACAGATAAAGTTCCCATTTATCTGCATTATACAACTACGAAGTACTGTTTGATACCATTGAATGGCAGGTCTTTTACAAGAAAGGGTGGGTGCTAACAGTAAATTTCAGAGAAATGTAGCATGGCATAATATAACTGCATATCACAGCAGGATATGTTTTAAGTTGATACATAGCAGTTTTTTATTGTCATTAATGCATTTAAGGGGCATACTTCCTTTTTTTTTTAAAAAAAACAATAAAATTAAAAGAAACAAAATATTTTTCTCAAAGAAACAGGATTAAAAAACATAAATGTTTGCTTGTAAATGATCTAACGTGCTAGTTTTGAAATAACTTTGCCACTTTGAAAAGGAACAGGGCGAACCGATAGAAGCTGTAAAGCAAAGGATGCATATTAGTAACCAATTCTAATTGAATTCAGCCTATGTGAATTAAAGGTTACTTGGAAAACACAAATAAAAACCAGCACTGAAATACCTTCCGAAAAACAGAAGGTTTTGTGCATTTTCATTTATAGAATAAGCATTGTAATTCTGAACCTTAATTTTTTTTGCTTTCAAAGACAGTGATTGGACTATTAATAAAAGAAAACTGCCCGGTGTTTTGTTTTGTTGTATTTACAGTGACAAATTTTCCTCTTTATGGAAGCAAAAACTGGACTTAAAAGGATTGTTCTGTGACTTTGCGAAGGATGGAATTTTGATCTATTGTGCAATTTGTGCAATAAACCTCTTTGTGGGTTTACCAATTAGTCATTTTACCTTGGCCATTCTTAATTACTATTTATTGCAGACTATAGATACGGCAGTTCATGTAACCAACTCGAGAACTGGAGGCCTAGAAATACAGTAGGGTGTGAACAATAATGCAAAATGATAGCAAGAATGTCAGGGGCCGTTCTTTGTTGTGTCATTCATGCTGTCTTCCTTTTTCCATGAAGCGCATGAATATTTCACATATCTGCATCCTCATCCTCTATTCTTCTTGACTAATTTTCAGACTGTCTGCATTTGCATTTCACATGGTAGCTGATTAGGAGATGCCGAGTGCAGCAGTGAAACCTCAGCAGGCGGTTTCCATGGTGACCTTCAGCAGGATTTTAATGATGATACCACTAGTGGTTCGTTGAAGTTGGCCTGCCTGCGGGGCTACTTCGCTGCAGCTAAGTGTGAAGTTGGATATGCGGATTTCCAGCCAAGGGGCAGATATCAAAGCCTGGCCCAGATAGAAGGTCTTGGAGTTGGGACAGGGAAAGAGGTTCCACCTTTTGCTTACCTCTGTGTAGCTTCCAGTGTCGGAAGCAGATGCAAAGCACAGGTTACATTTTCTTCATTTGAAAGCAGGCGTTTACGTCTATGCTTTGAGTAAACCGGGTAGTTATAAAATACACCATCGAGTTTAAAATATAATGAGAGATTCAGAGCAGTAATAGATGTGGAAATAGTAACTTAAAAAAGGTAATCAACTGAACTATAGAGATGGCACTGAGAGCATTTCTTTTGTTCCAGTGTGAAAACTTGCATTATCTACAGTGTATGCAAAAAAACCCCATGTATGTTTGCTAGTTACTGCACCAGAATATAATAAAAAAAGAAAATAAAGTCTTTTCTGAAAAATGTTTTATTAGCACAAACAGTTTAAAAAAAAAAAAAAAAAAGGAAAGAGCAAGCATTGTCTATTGTATTATTTTACTCTCCTAAATGATCTGTGCTGGGAAGCTAGGGATCTACTTTTTAACCAGATTGGGAGCACATTCTGAGCAGTAATGTTCAGGGGTTTCTAAATACTCCAATCCACATATTCTATAATGAAGACTTTTCTGAAAGAACACTTCTATTGAGCGTTCACGGATGTACCCTGTGATGTAGGAGTGTAAACACATTACAAAATATTAGGCAATTGCTTTTTGGGAGAAATGTAAGTAAATTTTAATGAGATAAATTTTTGATTAGAAATCCTAGTAGTCTAAGATGTGTTTTCACAAACTTTGTTGAGCAGTAAGAGTTATTATCCAAGATTTTTGCATGTTTAACAACTTCATGTATCACTGTTCTTGAATATTCCTTAAGAAACCCTGATGTTCAGGGTAAGTACTCAGAAATATGTTTTGTTTTAGGGAGTTGAAAGCTGGGGCTCCCTTGCCACCCCCAGTCAATACTCATAAAATCCTGTCAGCCAATATTAGCATTCCATTGCTTTTTGTGGTAGGTGAAGTCTTTCAGTCTTCCCTCTGAGGTAATTTTCCTCACAAGTCCATAGCCAGGCCCCTGGTCCTAGAATTGCCGTGTGGGTTGCCAGCATTCCTTCCAACACTGAGTTTCAGGAAGGTCTCCTATTCAGAGTAAGGTCTGTGAGTTTATTATTATTTCAATCATCCAAGATTTCTTATACGAAAAGTTTTCTTTCTCAGTTGCATGACACTGCCAAGTACTTGCCTGTCACAGTACTTAGTATTCCCCCCTCCCCTTCTCCTGACTTGAGCGATAATTGTTTATTTCATAGCTGAAAAAACTGCTAAAGTTAAAGAAAGTGTATCCCTCTGCTCCAGTGTCAGGCTAAGCTCCAGGCTAAACACAGTCATTGTGCTAAGTGCACAGAGGAGGTTAAGAACAGTAAGCAGCCAAAGAAGTTTACAGCTTGGGGATGTGGGGATGCAACAGGAGCTCCTTCCAGCTCAGTCGTAAGTCTGTTCTGCCTGTTGGCCAGTCTGTGCCAGTTAATGCTAAAAAAAATTTACTCTGTCTCGAGTGGTAGTCTGACTTGAGACCCAGTGCCTCTTCCTGTGGTACTGTCAGGCTTTTCTGCTTCCTGAGAATTTCATAAGTACCAGAGGAGCTGACAAGTGATCTCAGGTTCATTCAGATAGTTACTCATGTAGATAGTTAAGAAGTAGTGCTGTGGCCAAGTATTAGCAGCCAGCAGGAGCCCATTTTATGTTGTGAAAGGCTATGTCCGTGTGTAACTATTTTCTTTCTGCTATGCTCTCTTACAACTGAAATTCTGGGGAGAGGAGGGAGAAGGAGATTTAGCAGTGTTAGCAATGACCAGTATTTAAGTAGTAAGACTTATAGCCACATTGATGACTGCTACTTATTTTACTGTGATATAATTGCAAAGAGTTGTTACTGATGATGAACTGATAGAGTTCATCTCTTGTACTGCATTGAGAAAAGAATTTCTGAAGAAACAGATTCACAGCTGTCCCTTATTAACATTCTCATAAACGTTCTCTTGCATTTGGACAGCAGTGATTATATGATCATTTTGGTTAGGGTTAGTAAATAACTGTACAAGTTGCAAACAGCCAAGGCATCATGTAGATGGCTGGTTTCTCTAGGTGCACTTACAAAGATGAATAGGGCTGGACTGGATGATCTTAGTGGTCTTTTCCAACCTTGGTGATTTTCATAAATCCTGGTATGAAAGCCTTACCTAATGCAATGATGCCGTTTTGCTTGTGTCTTTGTAACCATTGAATCTCTGTGGCTGTCTTTGGAGCTCTGAACTAAAATATACTAAACAGAAGTAACAAAGCAACTCTAAAGGAAGGCATCCTGTTTAATGACTCAAATTATTTACTGGTTTTAATGTTTTTTAAAATGGAAAAGATCAGTTTAGAAAACAAAATCAGTTACCATGGGCCAGCAATTAAAAACCATGAAGTGGACTAGTGAAGCTAAACACAACTTCTCAAGCTTTTTGCACATTAATTTATTGGAGGATCTACTTGTATTGTTCTACCTTCAGCCAATTTACTGGTAAAAGAGAGAATCCTGTTATTCCTCTAATGATAGCTTTATAGGTGTCAATCCTTCACAGTCTTTTACTAAGACTTTATTTACTCTATGCAGTTCTACTGAACAGATGGAACTCTTCACAGATAAAGATATATGTATATGTACAAGACTCGATGTTGTATTCCCCAGATAAATTACATTTGTATTCTCTTTATAAAATGTTTACATATTTGGTTTTAATTTCAGGATTGGGGTTTTTGGATGTTCTCAAGTGTTTCCTGTTTGTCATGTAGGCTGTAAGAGCTGTTGCATGGCAAGCTGTTGCTCTCTGCTAATATATTGTGTCTGCTGGTAACTGTGTCCCAACTGCTGCTGCTTCTACAGGAGCTTGTTTTACTTTTTCTATTATATTTTGGTAATTATTTCTTACGGTAGTTCATAATTTCCAGCATTCTATTCCCCAAATAATTGGGCGTTACTATGGACTAATAATTTTTCCTGTCAGTGGTATTTATTGCCTGCCAGAAGGAATGTGATAGCTTTTAAAATCCGTTAGTCAGATAAACTTAACATATTTGAGATTCAAGTAGCAGGTCTGTTGCTGGATCTGGCCATCAGTCAAAAAGAGAAACATTAAAGTAAAATGATGAGCAATCTGATCACTATCTTCAGAATTCATCAGCTCATATATAAGCATTAATTTCTCTTCACTAAAGAAGTGGAGTGTTTTAGTGACAGTTTTTGTATTATTAATTGTGGAGGAACCTGTACAATGTGTGCTGTTTGCAATTTCTGCAAACAAAGTTGCAAATAGTTGTATGTAATGTTTCTTCCTTCAACTTCAGGACTTCCTACTCTAGTGCATTGAAATTCATCTTCAGAAAAACTAAGAGTATAATTAGAATTTAAAATCCTTCTTGATCTTTTTATACAAAGCAGGAAGGGAACTCTCTGATGGCACATTTGAATATGCTGTCTGTGTTGCCTTTGAATAATCATGATGATGAGGTCACTCTGTTAGTTACAGGAACTAGGTTTTCTCAGTAATCACACCTAAGAATGCTTCTGTGAACATATTAATTGTTTCTTTCTATAAAGGAAAATTAACGACTTAGGCCTACAAATAAAAACCAGGACTTTGGCCAAAGGTTATTTACTTCAGTATCGTGTTTCCAAAGCCAACATAGTGTGATGCTTCCTCAAAATACTTTCCCAACTTTCATTTTTAAGTTCAGAATTTTACTGAGTCAAAGGTGGAGGTTTGAAATTAAGAAGTCCGTACCGGGTTTAGTAGGGCTTGCCATTTAAATGATGTATAATGAAGTTACATGCACATTTGAAGTTATATGTTGGAAGAATTAGAACTTAGGTCTTCTCATTACTATTTATGCTCATATTTTTTTCTGGCGATAGTATAAAATGTAAAAAAAAAAAATAATAAAAAATTGAGTTTTGTATACATGCTTGCATAAAACTGTGTGCAGTATGTGTTGAGAGACAGTGCTGAGTGTGTGTTTATGCAGAGTTGCTGTGCTGGGCTAATTGTTGCCAGTCTTTTCGATTTGAATTTGAGAGTGCCTAAATACTACTTGGCAGGATTGTTGGCTTTCTTACATGTTATTTTCCTCTCCTAGCTGCGACAGTTAGTTAATATGTGCATCAACCCGGATCCGGAGAAGCGACCAGACGTAACCTATGTCTATGATGTAGCGAAACGTATGCATGCACACACTGCGAGCAGCTAAACAGACATCAGATCCTGAAGATCAGAAATGTTCAAGTATTTGAAATAAATCATCCCACCTCTTTGTATTTCAGAAATGTAATTATTTGAAGCTTACTGTTGTGCTTTGTAAACCCATTTATATACGAACTTCAATATTTTGTTTATTTTCTTTTTTACTTTTTACCAACTTGCAGTTTTAACAGGTTTAAATATGTAAAGCATAACTTCAAAAGATACTGAGAGCCGCTGTTTTCCACGTTAAGTGAGTTCAAGTATGTTTTCTTTACTGACAAATGTGTTCAGTTGGGCCTCAGTTCTAAAACACGGTTGCACTTTTGCACAGGATACAGATATTAGGCTTACGTATAAGCAAAATGTCTGAATCTCTCACCTTTTTAGTAATTTATAGGAAATATGAATCTGCACAGTTATGTTTATTTTAATCTTAGTTCTGAACGGGGTATAATTATTATAGAAGGTTATTGTATTTTATACTGAATTATAGTTTGCAGTTCTCAGCATGTGAGTAGACAGATGACATGATTAGTCCTGTGCTTGCCAAACGTGATGCAAAAATAGTTAGTGGAAAAAAACCATACACTGAAATTATTTTAATGTCCCTTTTCATTTTTGCTATTCTGTCATAATGCACATAAAACATTTGTTGGAGGTTTTATGGGAAAATTTAAGGTGTTGATTCTGCAGTTTGATCATTTCAATAGCCTTGTACAGCACAGCCCTGGGGCAATGTGAGTGCATAGCTGAGTGTTAAAACCATGCAGATGCTGCTTGTAGCAAACAGCGTTCTTTTGAGGCTAGCATGTATGAGAAGATCTGATTAAAAGATGCAATCTTTAAGTTACCAATTTCTATTTCTGTAAATGTCACTGTTTGTAGATTTTTGTATTTAAAATAATTTGACCTTAGAATACTGTATTTAAAGATGCTTTTAAAATACCAAAATCTTTCTGGAACATATATAGCTGTGTACTAAAGCACAATATATTCTGCACGAATATCAGATTTTGTATATTTTATCCTAAGAGGTAGCTTTATATTTAGCAAAAGTAAATTTTAGCATTTATGTTTCTGAGAGAGTTGCCACTTCCATTTCGGAAATAAGTATTGATGCAAAATGTCTTACAGATACTTTATTATTGAAAAGGAGATTCACAGTGTTTTGGTTAAAACCTTTCTGGTATGCTTAATAATGTTTTCATTGTTAAGGGAAATAGAGTGTTGAAAAATAGAGATAAGACTCAGATGTATTAAATATCAAAACTAACTCTTTTTGAGAATACACAGAACTGTTAAAACAGAATTCTTACCAGTGAGATTGCTAAGAAGTTGTTACTGTCAATTAAACCTTTTCGTTATGTGAGTAAAAAGAAGTTAAAGAAAATAGCAATACATACATCCACACAACACAGGTTCTGTATGTAGTCAGTTCCCTGCACCTTTTGTTTTGTTGTTTGTTTTTTCTCTCTATGCAGCTTTTCATTAGATGTAATGCTCAAAGAATATCCAAATGTGGGAAATCTGGAGTTAGCTCAGTTGTGCTTTGGGTTGGTGTTGTTTTTTTTTTAAAAAAATTAGAAATACTGTGGAAATTCTGTTTGGCAAAATGCAGGAGTTATTAAACAGTATGTGCCACATCTTCATCTTAATACGTTGTTTTTCTGTTGTTTTGTTTTAATTTCCAGACTTGGTAGGACAAGTCTTTAATTTTCCTTCTTGCTGCCGTATTTACTTGATCTGGTCTTGTAGGACTCCAGTGGAACAATGTATAGAAAGAAAGTGTTTGAGAAACCTTGGTTTAACAACCTCTATATTTGCATTCATGTATTATCTGATAACTGTGTTTTAAACAAATGATTGTTATATTCTAGTTCAGATGTCAGAGTGAAGTGGTTTGTATTGGCAAAGGTGGCGCAGTACTTGCGTGACTGCCACGATTAGTTTTTAATATGCACAACTACTCCAATCATTCTCTGAAATGGGCTAGAATATTCCAAAGTCACTGACAAAAAACCAACGCAGTCAGGCTCTATGCATCTAATATCATGCATCAAGTATTATTACTTTGCCTGAAAGTAACCAATGATACATATCTTTTTTTTCCTTTTCTGGAAGGATACGTGGAGTAAAGAAACGATGAGTTAAAAGTTAGCAAATGTTTAATTCATTGGTGTGGGTGTGGTTTTTTTTGTATTGCTAATTAAATTTTGTGCTGAGCAAAAGTAGTTGTTTCTATTTTAAAACCTGTAGAGTAAATGGTACAAATGACTTGGGTACCGAAGTTTGTATTTGAGAAGTCTGTGTGGGTTAACAGAATTGTTTGTATAACCGAGGTTCTAGAGTTTATCCCATAAGTAAAGCACCTAGTAATGTATGAAAACAATAATGTCAGTTGTAATAATTCCACGTGTACTGTACATTTTATAAAATATTTCCTGTTACAGAAACATCATTCTATTTTTCATCTTTTGTTGTTGGTGAGGTTTGGCACTATTTATTTAAGACTATGCCATTACATGTTTGTTTTCTTTAAATTGAACGTGTTATATTTCTAAGCAAAATGGTCTGACTTGCACCCCCTTCTATTTCAGTAGTACTACAGCATTAACGTGTTTCATGACTGAACTTTGTGCTTTGAATGACATTGCATTAAAATCTCATCTACTGTCTTGAAAGCTCCCCTGCTGTGCAGTAGTCTAATAAAAATAAAGCATACAGATATCAATTATGGTGTAAAAATAATGGTGCTTCTATGATATTTTTTCCAACTTTTCTTATTACAGATATGCTACAGTAGTTGCTGCCGGTCTTGCAGTCAATTTACTGTTTCCAGTATTTAATTATAGGTGAGTGTTCTAGAATTGTAATGGTAGAAAGTACATCCAAAAACTTTGTCATACCGTTTGTCAAAAATTGTATCTAAAAACACTACAGTGGATATTTTCATAATGAATTATAAACTGTGCTTTTATCTAAAATTGCTCTGAAGCAATATGGAAATACCTAGAAGGGCTAAGAATAAGGAAGAGCTCCTATTTGTGACCCCAGCTTTTTTGAGCTCCTGTCAGCTCCCATTTACTGAGAGAGCATTAATTTTTTTAATGAAATTTCAGTAAGTTTTAGTGAATTTGTTTGTTCACAATGAATAAATGGGAATCAGTAGGGTATCTATGTGCTCTGCTCTTTTTTTTTTGTATGCCTTTGTTTTGGTAGGACAGACTTAACATATTTTTTCCACTTCTCTTCAACTTCAGTGATCCAGTTACTCACTGTACAGGCAATAGAAGTATGTGTTCTTCTTGTAATGAGCTGAAACTTTAAAAACATGCCAATATACAGGAAGATGAAATACAGCATTAGATGTGTCTGAGCAGGCTAGTGTTTTATTCATGCACACGATTAAGACAGCCATAAAGAGTGAAATTGTTGACAGAATCTTGGAAATGGAAAGGGACTTCTATTGCCAGTGGTTCTCAGCTATCTCTGAATGGGACCCAAAAGTGCAGTGATGTTTGCTTTCAACAAACCATCCACTTGGTCTCTGTCTTGGCAGTTAGCCAGAGAGAAGAGAATCTTAATGGCTGAACTTGAATGCTGATGGCAATTGCTGTGTCAGGTATTTGTGCTTTTAGGAACCAGAGGTTTATGTGAGAGGAAGACAACAAGGGCCTTCAGCTCATGTTTTGTGGAGGGATATTTCAGTCTGGAAGTAAAGGCGCTGAACAGCAGAGTTGAAATAGCTTCCCTCCCCCCCCATCATTTTAATACCATTTTAGCAGTCTGATGTTTTTCCAGTCCTGCCACATCCCCATATCAGCTAATAGCCAGTGACAGTGCTGATCTTCTGGATTCTGATCTTTGGTTTGGTCTGGATGAATAACTAAATTTTCCTGCTGAGATCACTGAAGGGGGGAGATGCAGGCACTGGGCATACCCAGTGATGTGTTACTTAATTGCCAAATGTGATTCAAATAGAGATTTTAAAGGATTTTTTCCGGTCTTCACTCCTTTCCCTAAGTCTTGCTCCTCAGATTTTTGTTCTTGATTTTCATATTCTTTCATTGCCTCTGCTTCATTTTCCCTGTTGTCTCTTCTTCTCTCTTTCAAACTTGAAGTTCTTATTTTCCAAATGGCCAACAGTTCTGTTCTTTCTTTGTGACTTTGCTAAAATCCACCCACTGCTGCCTTCTCAAATTTTGTCCATAACCATAGGCAAGCTCAATGTTGTCTTTTTATTCTGATCATTACTTAGCCATTGTTCTTCATTCAGTTTTTCTATAGTTGCCACTTTGATTTCTTGTTTTAGACAGATGTTTTTGCAGCCTCAATCATTCCCATGACCTCGTCTTTACTAAATACTGCGTTGCTTTATTATCTCTCATTTTTAAATTCCTTTTCTCTGATCAGTACCTGCTCTCTTTCAGCATATCTGTCTTTAGCTCTCCTTTACCCTGTCACTCACTCCTTCTGGGATCTCCAGTCTATTAACCTTTCTGACTCTTCTACTTTTCTCAGCTGTTTCCTTCCTTCATTGGCCTTAGCTCCTTTGACTCACTGGTCTTTATTTTCATCTCTGTCTGCTTCTCTGTATGTGGTTTCTTTGGTTGCTTCTCGCAGTGCCCTGTCTCTAGTACCTTCCCTAGACATCTTTTCATGTTATTTCTTAATTTCCATTCCTCCTTTTCTGAATATCGCTGAAGAACGTCAGCACAACAAAGCTTTGGACTGAGCTCTGCCTTACCTGTTCTAATTCTCCTTTCAAATGGACTTTTTAACCACTTGGGTCACGTCTTTTTTTTCTCTTGGTGAGTTTGCTTTTCATTTTAGGCTTTATGTGTTTGTTTTTCTTCTTCCCCAAATTGTTCTGCTTTCTTAGAATCTGTTTCTGAACCAGGCCTCTGCCTCTCACTTCTGAGAGTTTGTCCCTTTAATTTCTGCAGCTCTTGTTCTTTTCTTACTCTTTTCTTGATCGGCTTTCATGAATGACTCCTTCACTAGCAACCAAATTTCTCTTTTACTCCCATCTTGAAGTGTGTGGCTCCCCTCATCTTAACTACTTCTGTTTAATACTTTTTCCTTTATTCCCCATCTAGCATCCCCTTATTTTATGACCTGAATGTTCTCTCCCTGTTTTTGGTTTTTGCTCTGTAATTCAAGTGTCCCAAAGATCCAATGCCCCCTTCCCCAGTTCGGTTCTCTCATGGTTTAATCTCTGTATGATTTCTTGACTCTTTGGCCAGTTTTTAACCTGTTGATTAAGAGGTCTAATTTTTATTTCAAACTCTCTCTAGACATTTTCCAACATCCCTGATGATTTTACTTGCCTTCCTGTCTTCCCAGACCACAATCTTTCTGACATGTCTGCTGGTCATACGTCTCTCAAGTCAGCAATAACAGATTCCACCCCTCTTCACTATCGGTGTTTTTATCTTTACCATTGTAACTTCTGTGTCATTTTGGACTTCTGTTCCTCCCTTCAAAGTATTGAAATCGACAGGAGTAAACAGTGGTCCTTGGCCTTTAGCTGTTTCATGTGCTGAAGAAGGAATCCATGGCATTATTGACTGTTTTGTGTTTTTAAGTTCAGTTTTGCAAATTTGATCTTGTTTTACAACTTCAGAGCTGGAACCTCAAAGATTCTGGAATTTGGGTCATGATTTTATTTTCTACCACTTCAATTGCAGGTTTTGTCTTTTATTTCTGAACCTTATGTAACTTTATCTAGTTATATTTACAGCTAACAGTTATTTTCTTGTGTTATAACAGCCTGGTTGCAGTGCATTTATCTTTGTTTTTAAAGTAAGAATGTACTTCACAGCTTCACTGACTGGGTCCAGTGTATGAGTGTATGGCATGGTGCTCCTCTTCAGCACTGTCCCTCTCTTACAGTGGTTTCTCCTAGTTGTTGTTCTGTGTTGTGGATGTTGGTGGTATGGCTGAAAGTTCCCAACAGTTTTCTGTGATACCTTGTTGCAGTGTGACAGCAGTGGGGCAGAATGGCATCTGACATGGAAGTGTGTATGAATCAAAGATGTGTCACTGAATTCCTCCATGTGGAAAATATGGCCCCTCTATCAAACAGTGTTACTATGCTCCTCGTGTCTCTTATTTCCATGGAAGTAAATAGGAGGCATTGCTTTTGAAGCAACTATGTAGTAACTGCTTATTTGCACCACAGTAATTCTTTACTTAGAGAGGATCAGTTCCTGGTTGGCAAAAAGCAGATTCTTTTATAATGTGTGTTGAGTTTTGGTTTCTTTTTGATGTTTGTGTAATGTCATACCAGTGCTGAATTTGTTCTTTTACAACTGCTTTAGTGATGTGTGGAGGCCTTACAATTTTTGTGTGATAGAAACCTTTTGTTTGTGTGGAAATAGAAAGAACATAAGAAATTAGGACATCGAGTTCTTCCTTATAATTTCCCTGTTGGTACTGGGGAGAGGTCCCTAGTCCAGCCTCCTGCTAAGAGCAGGATCAGTGCTGAGTTTGGAACAGGGCTCTGGGCCCCAGGATCTTGAAAACATCCCATCCAGTTGGATGTTGCAAATGTGCAGGGATGGAGATTGTGTAGCCACGTGCCAAAAGCTTATCTAGCCTCACCATCAGCATTGTTTTCGTGAGTTTGTCACACTTCTCAGTTTCAGATCTTGGCTGTTTGTTCTCATACTATTCTTCAAATGTTATTTGTACTATAAAACAGGTAAGTCAAATACTGAAACAAATTGTTTCATTTCATTCAGTGGTATTTCATTTTCTCAGATGGTTCTTGCTAACAAATGTGTGTGTAGTAAATATGTATCCTATATGACATATATACTATATTCATTTTACTGGAGTGTAAATAAAAAATTTAGGCAGTTAAAATTTGAATGTTCTGTGGCATTTACTACTTAGATGCCATCAGTACTTAATTTCTAAACCTACTAGGTGTTTTCCAACAGAGTTTGTTTCTGCCCACCTTGGTGAAGCAGGGGATTCAAGATCCTGGATGTAACTTGGTGTTTCTGTCTTCTGGAGCATCCCTTGGGAAAGGTAACTGACCTCTGCTAGAAAGAAAAAAGCCGTCGTGCATTTGAATAATTGTTGATTATGGGGACTCTACTTCTCTATCCTTAGGTGCTGGTGGCAACTTGCCTGCAGAGATGGATCAAATCTGAGATTTGGGGCTGGAATGACTTTGGGGGAGGGTGAAGGGTGGTTTTCAGGGGAGTTTTGGCAAATTTTCCCAGGTGTTCAATGGGATAGCAAAACTTAAAACTTCCGACAACAAATTTCTTGTAAGCAAATGAAAAGTATGACGTACGCTTATAAATGTGACAAGAAAAATCACTCTTAATGAGATAATTTCCTGAAAACAATAATTCCTTCTTGATCTTAGGAGATAGTCTTTAAAAAAAGGTA